TCTCTCTGTCAAATAAATAAATAAAATTAAAAAAAAAAGGATAAGGGAATATTTAACCACATTGATTAAACCAAACTTCATTAAACTATACTGATACCTTCACTCTCCCAAGCCCCGTCCATGTCAATCCCTTGGTGGAGACATTATAGATTTATAAATGGATGACAGAAGCAAACTTTGAGAGGGATGAAGAGAGACACTCTCCAGATGGAGTGTTGGACCAGTCATCCCAAGAGAGGGAGCATGTTGTGCTGAAGTTGGGAGGGGCAAAGCTCAATGGCTTACAGCAACAGCCACATAGGCCATCTTCTCTTGGGTGGGCGCATTATGGCATTTCTGCAGCTTCCTCAGAAGTCTCCACAGAATCCAGGTGGTGCTGGGCAGTTCCACCTCCAGAGTTCTCCACAACTCAGCCAGATGCCTAGAAATCCCAAAGAAAAGGAGGGTTCAGGAGAATGCCTTATCCTAAGCCCACCATGATCACAACCTTCCTAGAATCTGGAATCCAATCTAGAAGTGGTTTTCCTTTCCGCTCAGTTCTTCAGGGTATCAAAAGACTATCTGACTTCATTACAGTTACTCTTAGGGTTGGTTTTTTTTTTTTTAAGATTTTATTTATTTGTTGGGGGTGGGGGCACCTGGGTGGCTCAGCAGTTGAGCGTCTACCTTTGGCTGGGTCATGATCCCAGTGTCCTGGGATCGAGCCCCATGTCTGGCTCCCCGCTCAGTGGGGAGTCTGCTTCTCCCTCTGCCCTGGCCCTGCTTGTGCTCTCTCGCTCTCTCTCTCTCTCCCTCTCTCTCAAATAAATAAATGAATGAATGAATGAATAAATAAAATCTTAAAAAAAAAAGAGAGAGAGAGAGAGAGTGAACAAGCATGGGGAATGGCAGGCAGAGGGAGAAGCAGGCTCCCTGCTGAGCAAGGAGCCTGATGTGGGACTCAATCCCAGGACCCTGGGATCATGATCTGAGCTAAAGACAGACAGATGCTTAACCGACTGAGCTACCGAGTGGCTGACTGAGGCATCCCACTCTCAGGGTTTTATAATCTCAAGTTCCTATGCCTCATCATGGACTTCAGGACAAAGTGGTCCTAATTTACCTTTTCAGCCTCACAACTTCCCTGTCACATACATACCTGTGCTCTGGCTACCCCAGACCATTCACATTTACCAAACTAACAATGGACTTTGACAGCGCTCTCTCTGCTCATCTCATTTCCTTAAACTGGAAGGCCCTTTCCAAAACTCTCCCCTGTCCATCAAAACCTTCCAGGTCCAACCACAATGTCATCTCTTCTGTGAAGCTTTTGCGGCTTCTTTACCATGTCTCACATGAGGGTTCTCATAATACTTTCAATTTTTTTTTAATTTTATTTTTTTCAAAATTTCTCCTGTATAGAGGTTGCCTCAATCTTAAATGTGCTATTTTCAGTTCTCTGAACGTGTCTATCTGTTCCCTCTGAAGGCAGGGGTTATGCCTGGCTTTTCTTCCATGAATCCCTCAAGGTCTAGCACAATGCCAGGCCCACAGAAGGCATTCAAGATAGATTTACTCAACCCAGTCTATGGTCCTCAAGTTTTGGACAAGTCCAGGCCCAGAAATAAAGCTTTGATTCTCTTTAGAAAAGATCTCTTCTTTCTCTCTCTCTTTTTTTAAGATTTTATTTATTTGACAGAGAGACAGAGAGACAGAGAGAGAATGGGCACACAGCAGGGGGAGCTGCAGAGGGAGAGGGAGAAGCAGGCTCTCCGCCGAGCAGGGAGCTCGATGTGGGGCTCGATCCCAGGACTCTGGGATCATGACCTGAGCCAAAGGCAGATGCTTAACCGAATGAGCCACCCAGGTGCCCAGAAGAGATCTCTTCTTGAAGAAAGACAGTGTGTAATAACTTTTTTCTATCGTTGACTCGAAGGTAGGGCCTGAGTCATATATATATATATGTCATACACACACACACACACACACACACACACACACACACACAGTATATAAACACTGTAAAGGAGCATTATGGGGGCAGGGGGAAGATCGGGAATTACTCATGGTTTTACTCCATTGTCTTATTTTCGGAATCTACCTAGGTATCTTTGTGTGCTAGAGCAAGTGTGGTCTTCCAGTTGTCTATGTATCAGAATCACTCTAAAAATTGAGAGGCTTAAGAACTATTCCAACATTTCACTCCCTACTCTGATAATTCTAATCTGTGAATAAAACGAAGTAAGAAGGTCCTAAAGAGAAGGCCATTAAGGCAATGTGAAAGGCTGAAAAGTCTCATAGCTGGTGAACTGGACAATAGAAAATGAACATTCATTCTTGGGATGAAATTAAGAAATTCCTATACTTACTTATCCTTGTTTTTTTTTTCTCTCTGAATTCCTGAGGGAGTAAATGAATTTGAAAAGCTATTTATTGTGAAAGAAGTGTTTCAAAAATGCTTTTGGTCTGCTGCATAGTTGTAAGTGTGCTGGGACTGCATCTGAATTAGGAAAACACACATGTTAGCCTATAAGGCAATGGTTTAGATATTTTAGTGTGAAAAAAATCATCTGGAGAGTCTGCTAAAAATATGGGACAGGTTTCGCCTCCAGTGATACTGATCCCGTAGATGTGACATGGTTTTTATTTGCCCATCATCCCTTTGGGAATGGGCATTCATCAAGCTGTTTCATACCTTCCTTGTGTTTCATTTTGCCATCCCTTCTGTCTGGAATGCCTTTTCCACTGCCCTGTCCCACCTTCTACTTGGCTAATTTACACTAAACACTCAGCTTGGGACAGCCCTCCTTTTAGAAATTCTTCCCCAGTCTTTCATCTAGTTAAGTCACCTCCTATGAGCTTCCACAGAACTCTCTTATTTTGCTTTGGGATCCTATTATTAGTCTGTGTCTACTCCCAGACCGTGTGCTGCCTGAGGGCAGGGTCCGTGTCCTGTCCCTTATTTCTCCAGGCCAAACAGTACTTTGCACATAGCAGATGCTTTGAACAGACTCCTAAAAACAATCACCCCAATCTGCATGTAATCAACTAACAGACTTTAGGTAAATGATCAAAAACATAGTAAGAATGAAGTTCCCTGACTATGCCATTTTTATTTCTAGCAGATTCCACAATTCTCATATGATCTAAAGCAGTAGGTTCTCAAATTCATCCAAGAGCTAGAAAAAATACAAACAATAAAATAATGCTGAAGTTACACTTTAAAATAACTAAGTATATTTAATATTTTGTACTAAATCATATGTTTCATGAAAGGATCTAGTGTAGATAAGCTGAAGCAAGTAGTAAAGATTTAACAATAATGTATTAGAGAAATATATAAAAGAATATTCTATTTTATTTTAATTTATTTTAAAGATTTTAGTTTTAGGTAATCTCTACACCCAATATGGGGCTTGAACTTACCACCCTGAGATCAAGAGTCACATGCTCTACCGACTGAGTCAGCCAGGTGCCCCCAAAAGAATATTTAAAAAATAGATATATATTAATTCATTTTTTTCTTTGGATGGGTAAAAATCTTCCTTTATTTGATTTAGTGGTAGAGCGTCTTAAGTTTAGCTTAAACCAATCAAAATCAGCAAAAAAAATCAGCACTACACCAAGACACTATGAGAACCATTCACTGAAAGTGGTTTTCAAACAGTTTAAAGCTAAGAAATCTTTTCTTCAAATACAGTAATTACCCAGCATCACAATATATAAAGCAGACAAAAAGAGATGCCCCTCTGGGGCAACTGGCTGGCTCAGTCAGTAGAGCATGCAACTCAATCTTGGGGTCATGAGTTTGAACCCCACGTTGGGCATAGAGCTTATATTTAAAAAAAAGAAAAATAAGAGACAGATGACGCTCTGTTTGAAGGGGGTGGGAGCCCAGAACCTTCTCCTAATGCCTCATTGCCTTCCCTGGAAAGGATCTCCTGGAACTTCCAGGGTGTCTCCACCTCTGAAAGCCACAAGTCTAAAAAAAAACATCTTGTTTGTTCCTCTATATGATTTATTCTTATTTATGGGTATATTTTTATTTTCTTATTTGTGTTTATGTTTTTGGCTAAATCTCAAGTACATTGCAGACATCATGATATTTACTTCTAAATCACTTCAGTAAATTGATCTCCTAGGAATAAGAACATTTTTCTGTATAACCACATTACCATTTCATACCTAAGAAAGTTACATTAATTCAGTAATCTGTTACAGAGTCTATATTTAATTTTCCCAGAATTTTCTTTTTATAGCTTTTATTTTCATCCAGGATCCAATCAAGTTCACATATTGCACGTGGTTATGTCTCTTTAGTGTCTTTTTATTTAGAATACTGCACCAGCACATTTTTTATTTCATGTCATTAACTTTTTTGAAGAGTTCAGTCCAGCTGTCTTATAAAATGTTCTTCATTCTGGATTTGTTGGATTGTTTCCTTATATTTATGCATTATATTCTGACTTACATTGCAGGTATCTGTCTATATCTTATCTCTTCTACAAGAATATCATTAGAGCAGGGGCGCCTGGGTGGCTCAGTTGGTTAAGCGGCTGCCTTCGGCTCAGGTCATGATCCTGGAGTCCCGGGATCGAGTCCCGCATCGGGCTCCC